TTTGGCGAAGCGAACGGTTTGGCGAAGCGAATGGATAGGCGGACGCAACTTAAATATGCATTAAGAGTGTTCGCTTTTACCAGCTTGTGCAAGTTCTTCGCATCGCGCACACTTTTAATACCTTCTCTGCCTTTTAATTCGCTTCGCCAAACCGTTCGCTTCGCCAAATTCATTCGCTTCGCAAGTGACAATACCGCCCTTAGTCCCATAGAAGAATCTGAAATTTGCCCCCTGTGCGACCCGCCTTAACCTTCTCTAATCGGGGCCGAAATTTATAAGTGATATCTTTGACTATAGTAGCATCGACGTAGGGGTTGCGGCTTAGGAAAGCTGATGTACAAATTTGCTTCCTACATTTAAGGACCACCCCAATGGATTTAGAAATATACGAATAAGCACGGAGATCCCATCCGAAATTGGTTAAAGCACAAATTGCCTGCCTCTTGTAGAAATGCAGTGTTGGATATTGCATAAGAGGAAGTCACTATAAATTCTAAGGTCCTAAATTGAATTTCCGTAAAAAATGATCTAATTTGCGTTAGTGTTGCTTTAATTTAATTCATTTACGAACGTTATTATAATTGTCTTAGAAAGGCGTATTGTAAAAATTGTGGTTTGAGAGTTTTTTTTTATACCTTGTAGGTAGGTAACTCTTACAGCTTTCATGATGTTGCTATATTTGTATGTATATTTTACACCTTATTCTCTCTGGCCGCTATTCTTATCAAATCCAACAAATTCATACATATGTAAGTACCTGCCAACATTTGCTAATTTATATTCCAACCGTGAAGTCTCATCGTATTCCACAGATATCGGGGGAGTAGTTTGACTTCTTGTAAACGAACTAATAAAATAAATACCTCTTGTCAGCCTTCACCGGCAGCGAAATGTTAGTATTTGCAATACCAATGCGTATACATAGTACATATGTAGCACATAAATAAATGCGCATTCATACATCCCTACTACAAAACTGAGCTTATTGCGCTTTTCCTTTTCTCTCAGATGTATGTAGTCAATGTATCATTAATTTCCTTTATTCCGGGTTGACAACAGGAACAGCTCCTTTTCACTTACTTGTTCATAAAGAGCTCGTTATAACGTGAAAAATTAGTTTAGTAAAGAAAACTATACGTCAATTAGTTGTGCACAAAAAAAAAAACAAGAAAATTCGAGTTTTACTCAATAAGACTGCAAAACTCTTGTGCTTAATTATTATTATCCTTATTAGAGGAGGAGATTACACCAATGTTTAAGGAAAAAAGTGGATAACTTTGAACAAAAACAATTGCTTGGAAAAGGAAGATTTTCGTATCAACAGTCAACCAAAAAAATTTACGTCGAAGAGTGCTTGTTAAAATAACTTGCCAATGATAATCTGATTTAGGAACATCAGACTACAGCAAATTTAGGCCAATTGGTAAATATTGGGCCGTTATGAAAAGAAAATTGCTGCTGCAGAAGCACCTTGCCATAAACGAAGAGGTTCTGCAAAAAATGGGTCAAGGTGTCGCCTGAGGTAACACGAAATGATTTGCAGCATCTAATGACGAGAGTTAATTCCTAACTTCGAAATATATCAGTACCTGTAAATTAAATTCTTTCACTCTTAAAATAAGCATTATACTTTTGTTAGTGGTCAATAAATACGAATTTTGTAGCAATTATTGAAGGATCAGTTTTTTGTATATACATTCCTTAATAGCTTTTGTAAGTTTAAATTTTTTTATCATTTCACTTCAATATCTGCTTTAAATTCTCTGTTCGTATGGAATAGTAGCTTATGTAGAAAGGCTGGCTTTGGTATAATTCAGCATTCGCAGCATTCGCTTGCGAATGATTCACTGGGGCCGAGCCGTTGAAGAACGTTTGGTAAATAAACGTGCAAGAAATAGTTCCGATACTACCAAGTAAATATTCATATTAAGTCTCATCAAAAAATTGTTTGTCGTTTAAAGAATAAAGGGTATGCCGCATTATACTAAAGCCAACTTCCC